AACCCCTTGCGGAACACCACAATGGGGATGTCTTCTGAATGCTGGGTCAACTTTTAATGATGACTTCCCTCTTCCTGCTCCTTTCCACACCCTCTCTGTCCAAACCATCTCTTTTCCTCTCTCTACTTGCAGTTGCTATAGGCCCTTGGTCTGGGCAGAAGTTCCCTTACTCCCTTGCTCTCTCTTTTTTAGATTGTGAGGCTTTGCCTAGCAGATTACCATCCCTGGGTTTGTTCCTCGCTGCCTAGATTTTTCATCACAAGGGAGCACTGGGAAAAGCTGAGCCCTTGGGGGTTATATCCCCTTCCTCCCCACCGAGCTTCAGATCTTCATCAGCCTGGGCTCACTGTCACTTGCTCCAGACTTTCCTGCCTCTGTCTGGTAAGGGGAGGGTCATGGGCTTACATCCTCTCGATAACATTCCATCCTGGAAGCAGATTCCTGGAATCCCTTCCTTCCCTTCTAAATAAAAATTATTCGGAATCTGATTCATGAAGTTGGGTCAGTTCCTATTTCAATGGGATTGGTGTTTTCTTCTCTAAGTAGTTCTCTCATATTACTATTTCCCCCCAGAGATGTTACTTTTGTAACCGGAATAAGACATGTTTTAATTATCAGAATAAGATACATATTTATTACCAGAATTCAGTTTGTATTTTAAATGAGAATAAGATGGCAGAACTTGAAATCAAAGATGGCAGAACTTGAAATCAAAGTGGATTGAAATCAAATGCAATGAATTCCTAGTCCCTGGAAAGCCGGCCAGGACAATCCTGGACTCCCAGGTTTTGCCAGGCTGCCACTATGGATGTGCTGCAAAGTAGTCTGTTTGTCTGTCTCCTCCATTTGGATGTTACTGCAGAGAATAAAGCAACAGGGGAGGGAAAGTCTCAGGAACTGAACATTGACTGAGGGTTCTTCATGTATTGTCTATAATCTTCAAATAACTGCAAATTAGATTTTGTTGTCTCTGTTTAATAGACGATGAAACTGAGGCTCGGAGGAGGAAAGTGGCTTGTCCCGGATCAGAGAAACATTAAGTGGCAGAGCTAGGACTTGGCTTCTGCTCCTCCTCTGCACAGAACCCTTCAGAAGGAGTCGGGGTTTGAGAATGAGACCCACGTGCTCCTGTGGGCACGTAGGGCCTCAGGATTCGCCAGCCTGGTGCTGTCTTCCTGGATTCTGCACTGAGGTGCCCTTTCCCTGGTCTCCAGGGGTATGAACGCTCTGTTCCCTGGCTTTCTTCCTGTTTTCTGCTCCCACTGAGGAAGACCTACCTGTCCCTCTGGTGTCAGCCAAGGTACCATATCCCAAAGTCCTCCCCGCTCCCCACTCCCTTCCCAGCAGGATTCAGGATTCGCTTTCCGTACTTCTGTAGCACCTGGTGTCATCGACCTGCACAGATGATAGTGAGGCCAAAGATGAGGTCTGGTCCTCCCTTGTTCTTTGTCGCTCCCCTCTGCTCCTAATCAAGGTACACTGTACATGTGCCCCAAGGAAATGTATACAGAAAGTAGGATTCCACTCCCCGCTGTGCATGCCAAGCCAGGGGAGTTTTCCAGCTTGCTGTAGCTGGAGGGATCATGTCTTTTTGCTAGCGTCTTTTCTTGACTTATCCTGGGAAATCCAGATTCCCAAATTCGCTGGTGCAGCCCATCACCCGGGGCCACCTACCGGCAGCTACGGGAAACGCCTTGCTCCGGCCGCGCGATCTCGCAGGCAATGCTGCGCCCTGGCGTCGCCTCTGCGTGTTGCAGGTCGTGTCTGGCCCGGAGCCGGGAAAACGCGGGCAGAACCTGATTCAGGTCTGACAAGCCGTCCTTTCCAGTGGGTTGCTGCAGTCTGGAGGACTGGTTCAGTATCAGCAGGGCTTTTGAATGGGGACGTTGAGGGTGGGGCCCGGAAATGTCCACATCTGGGCGGGCACTGGGACCACTGCCCACGCCTCTAGGAGGATGAGGACATGGGCACAGCCTCAAGCTATGGTGTCAGTCAGTGGCCTGAACTTGATGGTTTCCTGATTATAAAATGAACGGAGGTGCCCCTTAGAAAATCTGAGAACCAGCAAACTATGAAGAAAATAAAGATACCTATAAGCCCAGAGACATCTGCTGCTAACCATTTTGATGCATATCCTTCTAAGACCTCTCTCGTATATGGGCCCATGAATTTATTATAAAGTTGAGATTATCCTGTACACAGGTTTCTTTTTTTTTTTTTTTTTTCTAAAAGTAGCAGTTAATATGTTCTGAGTTCAGAAAAGAAAATCTGGAAAATTAGAAAGGAATAAAGGATGGGGAGATGGCTCAGAAACAGTGCCTGCCTGGCAAGTACAAAATCCTGAGTTTGATTCCCGGTACCAAAAAATAATAAAAAAAAAAGAATAAAGAAGTTAGTAGGAATAATCTATGTAGACCACACTTGGGAGATTGGAAAATGCTGTACTAAAGTGAGATATAATCCTTCCTATCGATGGGGACGCTGTGAAGTCCCGTGGGCGCCCTGTGGAGTCGGGCAGATATGCAGTGTGCGGCTCAGCTGCTGTGTGATGTCAGACATTCAACCCACTTCTCTGAGCACCAACTTCTTAGAAATGAGACATTATAGGTTCTTTGAGGATCAATGAGAGAACCCATAATGTGTGTCATTTCTGTTCTCCTGCTCCAGAAGCTTGGCGGCCGTGGCGTCCTCCATGTAGAAAAGGGTGGTTCTGAACCATGGCTGCACCTTGGCTGCCCACAGCCCTGTGTCTTCTAGATTCCCAGGGCTACTGTTCCCTTTCCTTTCCATAGCTGGTGACTTCTTTGTGACGCACAATGGATTCTTTGGCACATTCGGACAGAACTGGAAGACACTTTGCCGATTCCTGGAAAGAGCCTGGGCTGAACCCAGCAACTCTTGGCTGGTACCAGTTGCTCTAGGTAATGAAGATGAATGAATGGCGAGAGACAAAACAGAAATCCCTAGCCTTGTATGCTTCTTGGTAATCTATCCCCAGTATGTCAATATTGACTTCTGATACTTTCTTGGAATCTGGTAAGGGATAAATACTTAGATTCATACAAAATTGTAAGTTGACCTCAATTGATCCAAAGCTTACTCATCTCTCGGGAACACCAAAAATTTGGCTTTTGCCAGAACTTTAAAGTTATGACGTGTAGAGGGATCACCTAGGGCTCTTATTACCTGATGCTTCTGGCTAAGTAGATCAGGTCTGACTTAAGAACTTGCATTCCTAACAAGCTTGGATGGTGCTGGTAAACTGATCACAAGTTAGGCCTTAGATAATCACTGCTACGATATAACTTTTCTTTAGCTTTCAGTAGAATCTGGAGTAGAGAGAAACTAACTGTATTAATAGTCTACATTTTTAGGCAGGGCTCATGCTTGGGTGAGATATCTGGGCTCCCAGCACAGTTTTCAAGTGACTGATATAGCCTTGGGCATGTACGTCCTTACTGGAAGCTTCACGGTTTTCATTTGTGTGTGGAGAGGGTTCCTACCTCTGTCTAAATTAGACAAAGTCTTAATGACTAGATATTCTTAAGGGATGAAATCAGGTATTTCCCTCGACCAGTTTAGCCCTGTATTTTTAGTTAAGTTGTGAGTTATCCCTGAGAAAGTTGCCAGGGTTCTGAAATCTTGCATTAACAGTGCTACACTGGCCTTTTGAGTACATATCCAGTGCCTCTAAAACATTTGGCAGGAAACCAGTCACTGAATGTTTATTAGGGTGATCATATGCTACCTTTTGTACAGGATTATCTTTAATCTTTACAAACACTCTAGGAGGTAGATTCAATTATTTTCTGCAAACAAAACAAGTAAACTCACACACAAAGAAAAGCAGCCTGAAATTCAGTGTTGTAATTTGATCCGGAAGGTTCCCCTGAGATATAAAGAGCTAAAGGCTTAGTCTCTAGGGGCATGTCCTTGAGGGACTGTGGCCCCCTTTCTCTCTTCTTGGTCTCAAGATAAATGGTTTTGTTCTGCCCCGTGCTCCTACCATGACTGCCCAGCCTCCCACCAGAGGCCTGAAAGCCGTGAGTCTACCTGACCATGGACTGGAGCCTCTGAAACTCTCTTTTCTGCTGATTATCTCAGGTATTTGAAATAGCGATGGAAAGCTAAGCAACACACAGAGCGTGTCATTATCCTTAAAGCATGTTACAAGTGAGTACAGTAATGGTTGGATCCGGCTTTGTCTGACCCCCTAGACCTATGCTCTTGAAAATATTTGAATAATTTAAGTGACAGTTATGGCAGCAAAACAGACACAGAAACATGACCAAAGAGGTTCAAAATGCTCAGCCCTTTTATTAAGTCTGCTAATAAAGCACTCCCCGGTCTCAATTTAGACTTTGATAACTACAGCAAATGTTAGTTCTATGTTAGAATCTGACAAACGAGCTAACCTATTACACCATGCTGGTGTTAGTCATCAGGTTCTGAAGTAGAAACTCCTCTCTCCCCATCCTCATAATTAATGTCCTTGGCCCTGTGTCATTCGGAGGCTGGGGGATGTGTGTCCTGTATGTATATCTGTGGTTTTACTTTTCACCCATGGTCTACCACAGTCCAAAAAATATTACCAGGAATAAACAAAGCATAAGTTTTGAATCACTTTTACTACAGTATAGTTAAAATTGCTCTATTTTATTATTACTGTTAATATCTTACTGTGCCTAATGTATAAATTAAACCGTGTCATAGAGGTGTAGGTATAAAAACAGTCCACAAAGGGTTCAGTACTGTCCACTGCAACTCCTGGAAAGTACGCCTGTGGGACAGTGGTGTGGAGAGGGGAGAGATTACTGCAGTGGAGGTTCAAGAAGGTACAAGACTGGTAGCCCAAAAGAGAAATCTACTTCTTGCTAAAAGGATGATACAAATATCTTTTAGTAATTACTGATGGTACAGCAAATTAAGTTTGGATGGAAGGTACCATCGAATGTAACACATACACTGCTTTGTCTTTCATGTACAAATAAAAGAGAGAATTTATTTTCACTTTGAGTTTATTTAACATTTCATCCAGTTAAACTGAAATAATACATTGACTCCAACACTGGCAAGACACTTTGTTAATACTGAAATAAAACTGCCAGTCTGCAAATACTTACATTGCCACTCTTTGTATCACGCCAGTAGAAATGTTAGCAATTATTTACCTTTACAAGGTTATTGCACTTTATGTGGATTTTTTTTCTCCAGAAAAGGTATTCCTAAGAGATCAGCAAAGATTGCTGATCTTGGTTAATTTGTTCTTTTTTTTAAATAAAACATGATTATACAGTTAATATTTCTATAGAAAAGCATTAAGAGTCTGAAGCTTCAATACACAAGTTTAAAAAGACACACTTCTATGATCATTATGCCTTTAATAACTATGCTTTGGTTATATCTTCCCAGTGTGTGTAAAATTTTGGTGAGTTCGCCAATCTTCCTACCAGCCATTAAATTTTCAAGTTACGGTTAACATTCTGCAGTGGAGTTACAAATTAACTACGGGTAAGGACTGAGAGTAGCTGGGTGGATCTGGCAGCCTGAAAAATGTTAGCTTTTTACTGAGAGTGCTTGCTAAGCACCTTATAGAGATCAATCTTGGATTTCAGGCTTTTAACCACTTTTTAAAGAGAAGCATTGATGGTAACAAAATACATCCAAGGCCAGAATGTCATGGGGAAGCCATTTGGACTCCAGTGGTTTGACAGCAAATCTAAATGAGAAGATTCTAGTGGCATCAGGGGAGGCTCACAGCTTCAGATCCATTAATCCTTTCAGAGAAAAGAGAAACACAAGACACAAGGCACACCAATTTTTCTTTATGAGGAAATTCAGTCTGGACACATTGTTAGGGAGGGAAAAATGATCCATCAAAATTAGTTTCTAAATTTTTTTTCACTTACAAATCTATGAATTACAATGATCTCCACTCAGCGAAACTGCCTTCCATATGACACTGAAGAGCTATAGACTTGAAACAATGTTACATTAAATATATGTAAAATTATTATAGTGATGTAAACAGTGGTACATGGTTTCATTATATCTAAACCGGGTGGAATGTACAACATTCAAGTAAAATTCACTGTTGCTGATTCATAGACATTATTTTTGTACCTTTCCGAAAGCCAAGGAGATTTATGAGGCTACCAAGGAAAGACATGCAGGGAACTGGAACTGTGATCTCACTTCTAAAAAATCCAAACATACCAGACTTATTCGAGTCACACAGTAGTATTATCGAATATACTTCTAAAATCTGATATTTGTAAATTTAGCTAACGAGATTCTTCAGTGGAAATAACTGAATATAAAATCAGTAACTTCAAGGTAAGATTAACACCTTTAGAAGAATATAAATAAAAAATTTAAAAGCCAACCAGGAAAATCCACCAACAATACAAATGTATTCAATTGCTGATAGCAGGGAAGGCGCAATGCACTGGTTTATGATTGTAACTTCCAAGAGGATATGAAGGAGCTTTTGGTCTACCAAACGAAAACCTCCAGCATCTACTTTGGGGTGGTCCACAGCATAGGCAAGTTCCCTTGCTATAAATTATTACATCTGGTCCCAGAGCTTTTGCATTTTCTAAATTCACTGCTGAGGCTTCCTTGATTTGAAAGAGAAGTAGGAATGACACTCATTACTTTGAGCAGATTACCTCTTTACTGACTGATGATTAACAGGTATTTACTGAGGAGCATATGCTGAGCACCTACTCTATACCTAGAAGTACTTTTTAAAACCCTGGCTCAGGGATGGGATATTGTCTTTGAAAAACAGTTACCATAAAAGCTACAGGAAGGGTATTTCTGTCAATCACAACATGATTCAAATGTATGGAGCCAACAGGTACCAGGCACCTGGCCCGTACCAGGTGCTATGTTATAAGTAGCAGCTTTATTCTAAAAGGCTAATGTGAATCTCTGAAGGTTTTTTTTTGAACTGGGAGAACCCAGATTGAACAAGACTTTCCTCGTGGACACGGCCATGCCTGGTTTGCAGGTGGCAGGATCAGCCGCCCAGGTTTCTTCCCCTCCTTCACAATCCTTTGTTGAAGTACACGCGTCGTAATTCAGGATGACTCTCTTGGATCTTGGCTTGCAACTCAGCCTCCAAGCTTGTCACAGACATAGAACTGGGGTAAGGGGGAAACGACAGGGTTATTCACGGGTAGAGGGGGGAAGCAGCACTGGAAAGTGCGGGGAGAGGACACGGGGTGGAGAGCATGGTGTGGTGAAGCAGGCCTGGTGGGGCTTGCTTCCTGGCCTGCTTCCTAGAGCTGCAAAATGGGTATCTAATTTCCTCCAGAAAAATCTACTGTCTGGTATAGAAATGCACCATAAGAAGCCAACACCAATTTGTATTTCTCCTACTATTAAAGGTTCAGCTATCTCTCATCGAGGGTAAGAATGAATGCTGAGGACTCTCAGGCATCGCTGGGGTCAGGAAGGCAAACTGTGGCTGGTCTACTTCTAATGAGAACAATATAAACATTCACTGTTGAGGAAGAGAGGTATGCACTATGTAAAATATATAACAGTAATAATTTAACCGGCAGGTTTCTGTCCACTACACACTACATGCTTACCATAAGGCTTTTAGAAAAAGCTAAAATGTACCAAAAGAAAAAGATAAAAAGAAAACACTCACAGTTCTATCCCCAAGGGATAACTAGTTTGCATTATAAATGTTAAAAATGTGTTTGAGCCAGGCATGGTGGTACACGCCTGTAATCCCAGCACTTGGGAGGCTGAGGCAGGAGGATCGCTGCGAGTTCGAGGCCAGCCTGGGCTACAAAGTGAGCTCAAGGCCAGCCTGGGCTACAAAGTGAGCTCAAGACCAGCCTGAACTGCATAGTGAGACCCTGTCTCAAAATGACAAAAAAAGTGTTTGACTATTATAGGAGCAAATATATTAAAGCTCTTAATTAATATATGTTTATTAAATATAAGTATATTTAATAAAAAACTGTCCAGCATGCTTACCACTAGGAAAACCACAAATATTTGGTTACATAATTAGTTTCTTAAAAATATATAGTATTTTGGTATTTTACATTGTTAGGATGTAGTAAAATATGAGATTAAAAAAACAGGATACAAATCTATATAAAAATATGCAATACAAGTAAAAGAAAAATTATAAATATGAAAAAAACCCACAGTGGCTTTCTATATCCTGGGACTTTGGGTAATTGTGAAATCATGCTGATAATAATGGCTATCACCTATTGATCACTGTTGGGTCAATTACGTATTTTAATCCTTTTGAAGACTCTGAAAGTGAGGGTTTTGGATAATTTACATGCAAGGAAATCTGAGAGGCAACTAAGATATGTTTTTCTTTCTACAAAAAAAAAAAAAAAAAAAAATGAACTTAATCAGCAGGTATTGATAAGTAAGTCTAAGACCAATTTGACTTTGGAATTGAAGTTACTGAAACCTTATTGGGTGAGGAAGGATATTCTCTTTTTTCATCTTCTGGGAGAGTCTGTTTAAAATTGCAGCAATTTGTTTCTTGACAGTCGGGCAAAACTCACCTGCAAAACCATCTGGTTCTTGTATTAAGAAGTAGTTTAAGTGATGCTCCAGCTTCTTTAGTGGCTGTAAGCCCACTCAGACTTCCTAATTTTTCAGCTTTGCTTGTATTTTTCTAGGAATTTATCCATTTTGAAATTTATTGGTATAATAATATTGGTGATATTATTATCTTTTTAATCTCTGCTGAATCTATATTTATGCTCCTTTTTCATTCATAATACTACTTGTTCCTTTATTTTATTTATTTTGTTACTATTTTTTGAGAACTTATCTTGATTTTGTCAATCCTTTAGTCTTGTTAATCCTCTATTCTGCTGTCTGTTTTATGTATTTTTGACCTTATCTCCTTCTGGAGTTTATTCTTCTGTACCTTTTTAAAAACTCAAATTGCACAGTGCATTGAGTTTTCAGCCACTTTTCAGTTTTTAATGTTCAAACATTTAAAACTATACCTTCTCTCAAAATAGCACATTTGTTGCTTCCTACAGATTTTAATAAGGAATGTTTTCAATATCACTCATTTATGCAAGAAAATGGGTAGTTGTGTATTTATGTAATGAACTATTATAGAGCAGTAACAGTGAATGAACTACGGCTACATGTGATAATGGGAATGAAGCTTTTAATATGAATAAAAAGAGTAAGCGCTGGAAAAGTGTATGACACCCTTGTCTAAAAAGTACCAGAAGAAAACATATATGCGTAATATTCAGCATAATAATTAAATCTGCAAGGAAGGCAGGGAGATAGCCTGGGAGGAGCCCTTAAAGACATAACTTACTCATAATATTTTTATTCATTGAGCGGTAGATTCATAGGTATTCACTGCATCATTACAACAAATAAAATAAAAATAGATAAATTAGGGTCATGCTGGGACCAACGTGCATAGTGTATTATGAAGCAAGGAAAATTATTAATATTAGCTTATGTAACTGAGGAGCAAGGGATAAAAAGAAAAACAAACATACAAACACATAGACATAAACCAGACCAATAAATGGTAATTTTAAATAGAGTAAGACAATAGTATCCCAAATGTAATGCCATGTACTCTTAGAGAGCTTTGACCTATGACGCCAGTGGTTATAGAAAACTTTTCATTTCTATACCCAGAGTTTAAGTGAATCATAAAAATAACTGTTAGAAGGAATATATTATTTCTTTCTCACAGTGCTCAAACAAAATCAAGGGCTATGTAGGATGTTTCTTTTTGGGTTTTTGAAATTTAAAAATCCTTTTAATCTCAGAATAATAGATAATACATTTCTGACAAGTTACTTGGTCTCAGGTATCATCTTCAGTATTTACATGCACCATGTCCCTGAGTGTTCTCCAACAGAACATTTTACCCAAAACCTCCTTTGAGAGGGGAGGGCATGAAAGGCCATGTTTAGGCCTTGCTGGCCTGTGAAAGAAAGTGTAATCCAAAGGCAGGGGACACAGTATCACTGAAACAAAACTAAAAACAACAAATGGCTTCTTCTTTGTGCCTTGGTATCACATTAGGAAGAAGCTGGAGACCTAGATTTAGACAATGCTGACTTAACCCCAGTCAATCCAGTTTTACATCAGAGCAGCATTCAAGGGCAGCTTGTGATAAAACACACGTAAGTAAAGCTTTGAAGGAAAAAAACTCAGTGGGAAGAAGAGAAGCAAATACGTCAATTACCTAAACTAAGTACATACAATTGCTATCCGGGGGCACGGGCTGGGACTAAATTCCAAATTATCTGTATTATAGATGCGCTTGCCAATGGGTTGGCTGATAATGAACCATATTTAAATTTTGATAGAAGCAAATTTGCAGTGGAGCTAACCTGACTCTTGGAAAAGAATAAATTTAACAGTAGGGGGTAGAAAAGAGCTGGGTAAAGATGGTTTTGAAATTCAACAGATGTGAGTCTGATCTCTCCTTTGTTTCTTCCTTTTAGAGACTTTGGCTTCATTACCTTTGAGTCTCAACTTCCCCACCAGTGACACGGAATATGTAATTACATCTATGTCTTCGGATGGTTTTTAGAATCAAAAGCCACGGCAAACCACTTTGAAGAGTAAGGAGTGCTTACCTTTTCTGAGGAAACAGAGCACAGCACAGGGGGGTGGCGAACACCAGACTTAAAGAAAAAGACAAAAAAAGACAAATCAGCATCTTGTATTCCCAAACTGTCAGCTTCTTATTCCATTTTACTTTTTTTTTTGTTTTGGTTTTTGGTTTTTCTCTGGTACCGCGAACTGAACTCACGACCTTGTGCTTGCCAGGCAGGTGCTTTGCCGCTGAGCTAAATCCCCAACCCCACCATTTTACTTTTATAGCCATCTTATTTTCTTTGTTTAAAGCATTAGATGTCCTTACAAAAATATGTTCTGTTTGTGTAAATTTTATTACCTAGGATTTCCAAAATAATGAAAAAACACTAAAAACAACAACAGCAACAAAATCCCAAGAAAAAATAAAGGTTTAAAGAAGAACCAGAAAAATAACCTTAAATGTTGTAAGTTTCTCCAAAGACAGTTCACTCTTCTCTAACTATTGAGACCATAAGCTCCAGATGTTCTGGGTTGGTCTCATTTTCAAAACTTCTGTCCCATATTATCCATCTTTTCTCTTACCTTTCATAGCCTGCATATGGTTTTTAAAAATTAATGATCTCAATAGAAATCTAAATGTAATGTCTATGTTAATTACCCTGAATTGGTTACTACATATTATAGACATATACTGAATGATCACACATAAATATATGTACAATTAAAAATAATAATATATATTTTTAAAAAATCCTTTCAAATTATTTGGGAGGATGTTGAGTTCAAGGCCAGCCTAGGCCTGGGTAACATAGTAAGACCCTTACCCTCAAAAAGATCACTGGAAAAAAATTAAAAGGTAATTTCTACTAACCAGAAGCCAACTAATCCGACTTGGATAGGTGCACTCATCCACGGGAACCTCTGTGTAGAGAGACAGATGACTGTGAAAACGTCTCATGTAGGCTCTTAGGGACCGGACTAGAAGAAACCTCCACACATTAGAAAACCCAAATGCAATACGGTTAGCAGAATTTGGAGGTAACACGACACCATGTTAATTCTAATTTCCTCCTTTTTCGATCTATAAGTGAACACACATGCAAAGATCAAATGGCTTCCATTTTCTTTGTCCTTGCCCATTAGGAATGATGGAAAAATATAGTGAATGTTTAAATTTCAAAGTTACTACATGACAGTAGAAGACATATTGATGTTAATCTCTGTCAAAATACTCCCCCTTATTTTGAACACACTTATCCCATCACTCTTGCCACTTTCTGAAGCAGTTCTGGAAGTCCTCTTTTGTAAGAGTCTTTAGTTGCACTGTTGAGAATGCCCTACTGTCCTGACTTGATTCAAAACATTTACCTTTGATGGTCATTTTGGCTGTAGGGAAGAGTCAGAAGTTTCATGGTGCCAGATCCAGTGAATGAAGTAGGTATAGACATACTGTAATATTTTTATTTGACAGAAATTGCCATACATGTAAACTGTAAACTGCTTCAGAAAGTAGCAAGAACCATGGGATATGGGTGTTGAAAACATATTTTGAGGGGAATTAATGACAATGTGTTTTTACTGTAATAAATTTTTAAAAAAATACACACACTGTATTTTTTTTACCATACCTTATAATCTGAGTGCTGCTTACGCATACAGAAAAGTACAGCAGTAGCTATCACTTAATTATAATTTATATCCTGGCCAGGGAGGTAAGCTAACCTGATGCCAAAGTTTAGACAAATGAACCTACATCCGAATTCTACCCTTGTAGTTACTTCCTAACTCTGGGGAAAAGGTAGGCAAAGTGTAACACCTCAAAGCTTTAGCTTCTTTGTGAAGCTGCAAAAGGAGCACCCTAACAAGTTCTTTAAAGTGTGTGCTAAAGACACATCAGATGATATTCATAGAACACTTAGAACAGTCCATAAACTCAAGAAACACTTACCATCTCCTGCCTCTTTTGCACTTGAACTTTCCTGGTTTTAGTTGCTGTCAGTATGGTTAAAACTATTTCTGGCATAAGTTTTTCTTGCTAGTCTTTTTTTTTTTTAATTGAAAGAAATGAGTTGGTTGGGCTTTGGAAACTATTGTTAGATTTTTTAGGTTTTAGAAAGGAGTGCGGTCACAATATACAATATAGAGAACAAAGTGATCATAGGGTTATCTAAATAACACCACAGAAATAGTTGCAACCTAGTTGTGAACTGGCTGTAATGTAGTCAGGAGACTTAGTAAAGAGTCAGCACAAGCAGTAACAAGATAACATGCATAAGAGGCATACCCTGGTGCCCCAGGAGACTGCTCTGGACAGAAGGAACATCAGGAGTGTCAACGTAAAAGGAGAAAGGTAAGGACTGAAGTGGAAAGGAGAAATATCATCAAGAAGAGATCGGTCCACGGTTACACAGGGAGCCCAACCCCCAAGAGATAGAAAGAAGAGGAAAACACAGTCCTGTGACACTTAACAACAGGAAACACTTTGAGAAATGTATCATTAGGAGATTTTGGCTTTATGCAAGCACGCATGGCAGACAATGCTTCTGCACACCTGAATGGCCACATTACTAATAATTTTATAGGACTATCATCAGGCATGCAGTCTGTTTACCAAGTTTCCCAGGCTGGGTGCAACCTTGCAGAGTGTGGGGACAACAGCTGTGCACCACCATACCTGGCTTTGAACAAGCATCTTTTATGGGTATGTGGTTCCATTTCTCCCAGTTAAATAGCTGGGAGGAAAATGGCTGGATCATATACAGCATATGTCTAACTTTGTAAGAAACTGCCATTTTCTTCTTTTTTAAAATTAGTACATGTTTGGGGCTGGGGATTTAGCTCAGCG